CCGTTGGACTATGTGCTGACAGCTCAGGGCCTGGAGCCTGCTTCGGATTCTGTGTTTCCCTCTCTCTTTGCCCCTCCCCCATTCACACTCTGTCTCTCTCAAAAATGAAATAAAAATATTTAAAATTTAAAAATTTTTTAAAAATTAAAAAAGATTTAAATATGAAAAATAAAACTATACAATTTCCAGAAGAAACCACAGAAGTTCTTCATACAACTTTGGAATGAAGAACATGTTTCTAATTATGATCAGAACATAGACACTTAAGAGGAGAACTGATAAATTTTCTGAATAGCTCCAAACACAATAAGCAAAGTCAAAAGAGAACAAAGAACTGGGATAAATATCATTAATTCCTATTAGGCAAAGGGCTAGCTTGCTAAAGAACTCCAGAAACTAGTAACAATAACATAGAGAAATGAGCAAAGGATACGAACAGATGGCCCAGCAAAAATTTAAACATTTGATAACCTGTTGGAGAAACTGTGTATATCTGTGAGGTAACATCTGTCAATATTAAGATCTCAAATACACATACTCTTCTGGGTATCTACCTCATGGATATATTTGTAGGTTTAGGAGATGATGCATACACACAGTTATTTACTGTAGCACTGTGTTTACAACATCAAAAGACTGAAATCAACCCCAGCTGGAAGACTGGTTACATAAATTACACTGGATCTTTATAATGGAATGCTACGTAGCAGTGAGAAAAAAAAAAGAGACAAAGCAAGTTCTCTATACAGTCATGTAGAAAGAGCTCCAAGATACCCTGAAGTGGCATGATATGCTTTATTCCTTGAGCATTAAGATACTCTAGGAGGGCTCCCCCGACACAATAGTGCTATATCTTTGGGGGCGGCAAGGGAGAAGGACCGGGTTGTCTGCTGCTAGGGGCGGGTACTTCCCTAGTTACCTTTAGAGATAGGTATACATAATTTTTTGTCTTTTCTACCATAGGAAAAGATTACCTATGCAAAACATCACATTTAAAACCATACAATAAAAGAGAAAAAAGAAACACTAAGTATTCAGCTGTTAAAAAGAATAAGTCAGCAGCAGATTTGGTGGTGCACAATGGTGTCCAAAAGACATTCTTAAGGAAGAAAAGTGACAAAGCAGGTCACTTTTGCTGCCATTCATGTGCTTTAGAAAGATACACACATTATAAAAAAAAGAGAGAGAGAGAGAGAGAGAGAGAGAGGGAGAGATTTAAAAAAAAGAAAAAACATGGGGGCGCCTGGCTGGCTCAGTCAGAAGAGTATGCGACACTTGATCCTGGGGTTGTACAGATTACTTAAAAATAAAATCTAAAAAAAGGGAAAAAGAAAAAAATAATGCATATAACAAAATAAATAAAATTTTAAAAATTAAAATATAGAAAAAATACATTAAAAAAAGAAGAAAAAAATTTTTAATATGCACATTCTTATAGAAAGACATACAACATATTCAGAATACCTCCAGAAATCCACACCGTACTGGGATAGAAGATTGGTTCTGAGCAGGGCAACAGGAGACTGAAAGACGAACTTGGCATCGTATATCTTTGCTACTGTCTGAATACTAGTGAAGTTTTACTATAACGTGAATTTCAAATTTTATATCCCTGGCCAGATCTTACCTGTGATAAACCTGTGTTTCCAACTGCTCCCTTTGCATTTCTCACAGAGACTTCAAAGCCAGTAAGTCCCAAACTAGACTCATGACCTTCCCCACAAAACCTGTCCTCCCCCAGTGCCTCACAGTCACCATCACTGCCCCTTCAGCTGCTCTGGCCAAAAAAAAAGTGTGTTGTTTCTGACTCCACCCTCACCCTTCCTCTGCGTCCAGTGAATGTGCTCTGTCAAGAGCACCCCCCTGGGCCCCTGTGCTCATTGTCACTAGCAAGGCTGCAATGGGCAGCTCTCACCAGGCTTTGCTGTGGTCATTGCCGGTCCACCCACAGCTGCCCAGTCCCCTCTCCTATAACCTCATCAACCTGCTCCCCTGGTTTCAAGGCTTTAGAGCAGCTTCTGGGAAGTAACATCAATCCGAAAGGGGCCTGAATTTGCAGCAGAGTCTACATGATCTGGCCTTTTCTAGTCCTTCCTCAAGTCACTCTCCTTTCTTACCATATTCCAGCCATGCTAGCTTTCTTTTAGTTCCTCAAACTCTTCCTCCCTGAGGCCTCACTTACCAAGACCTCTGCCTGGAAGGCTATGTTCCCCACCCAACCCCCCATCTCTCCTGACACCTGACATACTACACTAAGCTTCTGCTCTGTTAACTGCCTCTCACGCTTCTGGTGTCACTTTAAACACACTCTCTTCAGAGCATCTTTGGTGACCTTCCAGATCAGATCCCATTTTATATTGGCTTAGAACCCCTTCTTCATATAACTTACTGCAACAGTGCTTAAATAATCTTACAATAATCTGTGCATATCCCTCTAATGGTTTAAGAAGAACTTTTTTGCTCACTGCTCTATCCCCAGTGCCTAAAATAGTACCTACAAAATAAACACATGTTGAATGAACACACAGGGAGAAGGAGGCAAAACTAAGAGAGAGACAAAGCCTATCTATCATCCACAAGAAGGGTTCAAGTCAGCGACAGCCTCTGGGAGGCAGAACTTCCTGCTCCAACTCCTGTCTCAGTGGCTCTGGCCTGTGGCTCATTGTTAGTATCTGCCCACTCACCACACTGTCTGGGGACTGGAGCTGGTCCGACAATAAGGCGTTGCTGCTGTTGTAGCCAGAGGTAAGACCAGAGGAGAGGCTTCCATTGGAGCTGGCAGACAGGGAGCTGGAGGCAGCCAGTGTGTGCAGCTTTTCTTCTTCCTTACAAGGACGGATGGCTGGCAACCAGCTGCTGGTACACCTTCTCTATCCCCTTCTCCCCTGAAACCACCCCTCCTCACCTCCCCAGTGCCTCCCCACATACCTACCCCAACTCTAAACCAAAGCAGCCTCCTCCCAGATTTTGGCCTGGGGACAGGAGCCAGTCAGAGGAGGGTGACAAGTAAAAAGAGCGAGCACAGCTTTGAGCTGGCACTAGGAGTCCAACACCTTCCTCCAAAGGCTACATCCCAGGACTCCAAGGCAGCCCGGGCAAAGGCTGACCCGGTCTGGTGTCTTTCCCAGGCTCCTGGCCCACCCAGAATCACTAGCTTGCCCCATGCCCCACCCTCAGTAGCTGGGAGATGATCTGCTGGCGGATTCTCAGCTTCTCCTGCTCGGTCCGCTCCTGCAGCCGGGTCCGGGCCCGGGCAATCTCCACCTTGGCCTCCTCGCGGGCGCGCTGGTATTCTTGCAGCATCAACGCTATGTCTGAGGCAGGGTGAGCAGACCGTGATGCCGACCCTGGGCTCCTAAGGAAGACCACAGGGTGGAGAGATGCCTTCTAACGTGGTGGGTGCATGGGTGACAGCCCTGGCCTGCTTACCCCAGACCTATTCAACACCATCCTCTTGAAGGACCCATCCTCTCTTTGCCCAGTTTGGTTTTACCACCCATTTTGAGGTTCAGGCCTGCTGTCTTACATAGAAGGTCACAGCTGCTCTGTCCACCCTCTCCCATGAGCTCTGCCCCCACCCTGTTCCCTCCCACATCCTCCTTTTTCCCTTTGACCCATTCTCCCCGAGCTGCCTCCACCTGCCCACAGGAATGTAGGACCGTAGGAACGTAGGACCCACTCTTGGAATCACTCCTGTCCAAAGGAAGCTGCAGCCCCCACTTTCCAGGCCCTGCCCCCCACAGCCCTCCCACTCCATACACAATCTGCTCTCTGCAGGGTCCTGGTCCATACCTGGTAGTTTCCACAACATCCTTCCTCAGCTGCTGCAGGTATTCTCGGCGCCTGCTGGGTAGGCCGAGGTCCCGGGTGGGGAGATCCCTGTTGGGCAGGAGGCTCAGTTGTTTCTGGGGGCTGAGGTTCCGTGTCTGGTGTAAGTTCTGAAGTCGTTCAGCTCGCTCTCTCCGGAGGGCCTCAATGGTTTGTTTTTGCCTGAGACAAAATGTGATTGATTCACTGAAGCTGGCCCTGAATGCCCTTCTCCATCTTAAGATCTATCTCTGAGCCCCAGAAGATCCCAGAGCTGAGCAGGGGAGAAAGGAACAGCCAGCTATTAGCCTTCTGTGGTTCTCCTTCAGCCCACCCCTTGCCCTTTCACGCCAGGCTGGGGGCACTTACCGGGCAAAGAGCTCCTCCCAGGTGGACTGCAGAGGCTCCTCAGCAGCAAGTGCCTCCCCTGTCCCACTTTGCAGCACCTGCAGCAGGGCATCGGCCTCCCCAAAGCCGTGGTGCAACTTCGCTTCTGTGAGCTCTGTGCTGAGTGAGAGGTTCTGGGCCCCAATCTGCAAGGGGATCTGCTCCCTCTGGGACCACTCAGGATCCTGGCTCTGGTTGTCAGGAGATTGTAGGGGCTTCTGTCCCTGTTTTCCAGAGCTAAGATCACACCTGGTTCCCAGTGACTCCACACCTAGCCCCCCAGGAGAGCCATCCTGAACCCCGCTCCAATGACTGACTTTGTTATGCACTGAGGAGTCCCTCAGGCCGTGATGCTGGGGCTCAGCGGCCATGCATACCTGGGAACTGGAGCTCAGGAGCACCTCAGATTGGCAGGTAGGGCTCAAAGTGGGACCCTGGAGCCCTGCAGTAGTAGTCAACTCAGAGACAGGGCAGGGTCTGAGGTGATGAAGGCCTCCTCTTGAAGAGGAAAAGTCCAGAGTGGGTTGTGGCTCACCCTCATTTTCTGTCTTGCTCCGCCATTCACTTGGCTCCCTACTGCTCAGCGAGCCACACTCCAAGGAAGCCACGTCCTCAGGCACGAAGTCATCAGCCAGATTCGGACTCTGGCACCTCAGTGAGGGTGGTGGTGGTCTGCTTTGGACCAAGGTGGTGGTCTTGGGCTGAAGCTGCTGAGGGGGCTGCTCTATGAAACAGACTTGGAGTTTTGGGGTCTGTGGTGGACTGACCGGGGACCTCACCTCAAGGAGCGAACTGCCATCACTCCTTTCTAAGGGACTTCCACCTTCCCCACATGGAGCCCCCACTCTTTGGGAGTCACCGGACTCATTAACAATTTGAGAATAAATATCCACTGGAGGCCTGGGGGAATCAAGGAAACGGTCTGGACTGGAGACAAAATTCTGGCGTCCTTCAAGAGGACAAGCTGAGGGGGCTGTGAGAGACAAAGAATCTGGGGAGATCCCCAATCCTTGGGTGCTGACACTAAGCGTGAGTATTGGGGAGGAGGCCCTGTCTACCAACAAGGTACCCACGGTGCCCAGCTCCTTCTGGACCTTAGGATTCCCCATAGACTCTGCAGAACTGGGGCAGGGCCCTGGGGAGTGGGAGCCTTTGAGGCTGGGGCTGTTGACAGCCAGGCAGGAGGGCTCCTCTGCCTGGACGCTGGGAGGCAGGGAGGCATTAAGGGAAGCCTGAGGGATCACAGAAGGGAGGTTCTGCCCAAAGTGGGCTTTCTGAAGCCTCGAGTGGTATGCGGGTGCTGGAAAGCTCTGGGGCCTGAAGTGGGGGCTTTCTTCCTGAGATTCTGAGGGCCCTGCCATTTTCCATGCAGTTTCCTCTGACTCTCTCCTCTGAAGGGTCCCTGTGACATGTCCCTTTTTTTGAGACATGATGGGGATATCTGAGCCCAGCACTTCAAGGACCACATTGACCTCCTGAGGGTTGGCCTCTGGGGTTGGAAGGTGCAGAGGTGGTAAGGCCAGTTCAGTTTGGATGCCCTCATCCATGGTGGTCTGAGTACAGCAGTCCATCATTAGGGCCTGGGTCATCTCATCTGGGGACTCCCTCTTGACCTTCCGCTCCTTTTCAGCCACACTTGGCTGGGAGAAACTCCCTAACAGCTCCGAGGTGCTGTGTAGCAGCTGTGAGAGGTGGAGAGACAGGTTGTGCATGCTAGTCCAGGAGACCAGACCAGAGCCTGGCACTGCACTTGTTTCTGGCTGAGCAGAGATGTCAGTGGAGCTCCAGCAGACACTGCAGCCCAGGGTCTGTGTGCCCTGCTCCAAGGTGCTCATCCTGGACTGCCCCACAGGGCCACATGCCTCTGATGGATACAGAAGCATAATCTCATCTACTGGACCTGCAGCATTTTCTTCTGCCAACAGGGGCCTACTCCTCAGACAGCCTGCTTCATCAGGAGTGCCCAGGGTCTGGGCTCTCTTGTCAGGACCCTTACTGGGGATTGTTCCTTCAGGGGTGTTCAGGATGTGGGGGCTCCCCAAGGCAAATGAGGAGCCCCATACTTCCCAGGCCTCATGTGAACCTTGGGCATTTCTAATGCTGCTCTGTGTGCTTCCCAGGTCCCGGCCATTGGCATAGGTGCTGAGGTGGGAGTGGAGCGGAGAGTTCTGGTCTTCCAGGCCATCGTCCATGCTTGAACAACGGGCCATGTTTGATGGTATCGGGCCCTGGGTACAAGAGACATCCGCGGCACTGCCAAACACATACTGCTTCCAGCCAACGTGCACAGGACCCTCTGGACGTGAGGAGAGGATGTAGGGATTGATGTCCCTGGAGCCAAAGTGTAACGTTCCTTTGTCTACCCTAGAGTGCCACTTCTCTGGATTTTCCTGCCAGGACTCTTGCAGGGTACTAGATGTCCAGCCTGTCATGAAGTCAGGGATTGGCATGCAAGAAAGATCTGAGGACTTTGGGTAAGGAGGGTTGGTAGGTTGTGGGGGCTGGTGACCAGCAGTGCTCATGTCCCAGTTAGATGAGGCTTTCTGACTGCAGCCCTCAGCTTTCAGAGATGTTCCTGCTGCTGACTTTCCTTTGAAATGACCCCTGGGATGTGGAGTCCACCATCTGTTAGGCTCCTGTGTATCTTCATCTGTGGGGGAAGGAGGCTCCACACTCAAATTCAGCTCCTGAAGAGACCGGGAAGAGCTGACCACAGAGAACTGTGGTCTGGGGGAGGACCTGGAGTGTTTGGGGCCAGAAAAGACTGAAATCACAGGAAGTGAGCACCCATGATGGGGAGCCGGCTGCTCCCTGCCAGAGGCAGGCAGGCCAGGGGTCTGGGGTGTGGGCCATGGGGCTCCACTCTGCCCCAAAGGCATGGAGGCTGAGTCTTCAAAGCCTGATGAAAGCATCTTGGACACAGAGAGATGGGCTACAGATGCTTCCTCTCTGCCTGCATCTATAATTCGACAGCTGTCCAACCCACCTTCATGGGAAGGTTGGGAGCTCCTGCCCTGGGCAGGCTCTTCCCGACCACCCGAAGCCTGGTGTCTCTGCTGCTCTTCCTCATCCCAGGGACTGTCAGCTTGGTGCCTAGAAATGTGTTTTAACTTTGCTACAAACCTGGCTTGGGGATCCAATCCACTGTGATCTCTGGACTCAGTGGAAAGTTGTGGTTTTTCTGGAAGGCACTGGATGGCATCTTCTAAACATCCATGCTGAGGTTCCCCCAGAAGCTCACTCTCAATAGACCCTTCACTTAAATTCAGGGTGTATGGCCTCCCAGTTGTTAAAGGTGGTTCTGGCTTGGTTTGAGAGTCCTGTGCATTCTGGCCACCTACAGAGCTATCCTGAAATTCCCTCAGTGGCTCAGAGTACATGTCTGCAGAGGAAAAGGTAGCCTCAGGCTCTAGGCTGGCTTTCTTCTCAGCAACCTTTTTCTCAGGATCCTCTCCTGACCTTGAGCTTCCATGAGCCACGGAGTGGCTCAAGGAACATGTCATCACATCAGGGGCAGAAGGGGAGCTGCCCTCTTGAGCCAGAGATAGGACAGGAGCGGAAGCGGAAGGCTCCCAAGAACTGATGTCTGCTGGTGCAAATACTACACGAATGCCTTTGGGCTCAAGGCCAGGAGTCCAGAGCACTTCAGGTGCCCTGGAATAGCTTTCTGCTGTCTCATCCATTCCACAGGCTCTGGAAGATACTATGCAGGGTGGCTGGAGAGTATGTAGGGCAGTCTTGGCACTCCTCTTCCTCAGGTCACCGTCTCTGTAACACGATAAAGTATAGGACGGGGATGCACAGGCACGAGAATCCATGGGTTGAGGATTGCAAAGATGCCAGCAAGGCGATGTTCCACTGTCTTCCTGCCCCCTAGGTGGACTAAGAGCCCTGCTGCCTTCCATGCTCCCTGAGATGACGACACGGTCTAAAGTTTCCTGTGGATGTCTGCACTGGGACTCCTCCTGAACTTCAGAATCAGGGCTAGGTCTTTGATCTGGCAATGGAGTTGATCTAGGATGTTTGCTGCTGGCACTGTTTGCTGGGCTGCAGGCTTCTGCCAGCCCACAGTCATCGCTCTCCTCCCACTTCAAATGGTGCTGTGAAGGAGCTTCTGTATCAGCCCTTCTTGGGGCTCCAGGCAGGATGGTACCCTGTTTGGGACTTGCCCCCCCTTCCTCTAAGCCAATGGAAGCCTCAAAGCACCGGCCATGGTCTTGGGTACGTCCTGAGAGGCTGACAGAATTCTGAACATCACAGGTCACAAGCCCACTTTCAGAACAGGTTGTTTTTCCTCCCTGTGCAGCCACTGAGAAATTACCTGAACCTCCACCACAAGTGGTATCTAGAATTCTAGGTTCGTGATGCACTGGGTTGGTCTCCTGACCACCAGGGCGTGTGCCTTCTGCAGTCTCCCATTGAGCTAACTGGCTTCCCCCACACAGAATCATGCCAGGATCACCAGAAGGGGCCCAAGAAGATAAGGCAGCCACTGCTTTCTCTGACCTTACCCTCCTGTCCACTACCAGTGTGGAAGGAAAACTGTCTGAGCTCACAGGATCAGCAGAGGAAGGTGTTCCGGTTGCTTTTTTCTTTTTCTCTCTGATTTCAGAAGAGCTACAGTGACATACAAACTGTTCACCAGCTCCCAGAAAATGTCTCCGTTCTCCAGTACAATGGCTTTTGCCTGGAACAGGGGCTGCATGGGAGGAAGTTTGTGAGGGATGCCATGGCCCTGTTTTAGTTTCAGTGTTGGGCAGATGTTGAAAGCTGTCTGCAGGGAGGGGTGTGGCCTCGTCAGTCGACAGATGTCCTGGTTCAGCAGAGAGTGATGTCACATAAAATCCTTGTGCTTCATCCTCATTCCTGGTCCTATCTGACACCGACTGGTCCCTTTGTGGACACTGAGGCCTACCACGGGCCCCTGAAGAATGTTCAGGTTCTAATAAAGTCACATAGTAAGGAAGAACATTGCCATCAGCCCCTAAGCCATGAAGCTGCTTTCCCTGGGCCTTTGCTTGTCTGATCTCCTCTAACACAGCCAGGTCCGTAGATGTATGAGCACAGTGCTCTGGGTGATGCACCCTCGGCAGGGACACAGGTGCTGAGAAACCACCACCAGCAGGACTGAGGTCCTTGGCTTCCTTCTCTGCCTTCTGCTTAGCCTGCTGGCCTTGACTGTTACCCTCTTCTAAGAGGCAGCTGGTCTTTTCAAGTGGGCTAAATCCCCTTTTCAGAGGACTGGCTCTTTCTGATCCTCTTTGCACAGCTGCCTCAGCTTCAGAAGCAAAATTCTTCCTGGGACTCAAGCCCATCACGATGCTTCTGAGGTCCCCTCCTTCATCTTGAGTGCTTGGTGATCTCCTGCTCTCTGCCCCCAGGGAAATGCTCTCTGGTACATGGAACTGACCATGAGATGCCATGGCCGTAGCTATCACAGACTCACACCAAGCAGTGTGTGCCAAGGAAAAGCCCCCTCTAACATCTCCCTGAGGGCTATAGCTTCGGGGCTCTCCACTCTGGTCTTGACGCCCTGCTCCAGTTACCAAGGGACTGTCAGTCATTTTGAACACCGTGGGATCCAGCACATAGTCAATGTGTACAGTATCACATGCGTGAAGATAGTTTCTTGGTAGCCTTGCAGAATCCAAAGGCAAGGTACCACTCAGGTCTCTGTGAGGAGCCACAGAGGAATCTGGCTGGCTCAGCAATGGGCCAGTCTCCTGGCTAAAAGATGTGCTCACACAATGTGGGCTTGGGCTAGGAACTTTCTGAGTCCATGAGACCATTTTGTCTTCCTCCAGTAGGCTCCCTCCCGTTCGCACAATCATTTCCTCAACTCGGCCTTGAGCTTTTGGCCCCTTTTGCTTAGAACTACTTACATGTTTGGCAACTTGGCTCTCCTGAAAATCTTTCACAGTTTCCAGATCCTCAAGACCTCCCAAGCTACAGGGCTGCCCTCTGGGGCATGCAGATGCATTCCCTGCCTTGCTCTCCTTCTCAGAAGACATCTTCAATCTGGGCTGCGATGGCAGAGCACTAGCTGATGCCTCAGTTCTTGGATTACCGCAAGTGTCTGCGAACCCTCTACCAGCTGTACATGTCCCTACGCAATCACAAGTGTCCCAGGATGGTCTGTCTAATACAGCTGGGGGAGTGTGCTCTGTCATAAACTTAATGTCTTGTATACATTCCCTTAACTTGAAGGGGCTCAAGATGATTTTTCGGACTTGGGGACCTTTCCCAATGCTATTGTTAACCTCCATTTCTCCAGCTTCACTATCCCTAAAGGTAATATCATCTATCTGTTTTGGAGAAGATGGCTGATCCTTGAAAGACAGGTGGTTCCCAGAGCTGCCTGACCTCAGGGCACAGTCAGCCATCTCCCGGTCCCTCTGGTCCTGGAACACAGACTCCTTACTGACTCCCTGTGTGGGAGGAGCATATAGCTGCTTATTTTGCTTGGATTCAATTTCTAAGATGCCATTTTCCAGCTTCATTACACTCCTAATTAGCCTGGCCATTTCATCAGCACTGTTAACTCTTTTATTCTGTTTTCTTCCAGAAGGTTCTTCTTTGGGGTTTAACGTTTCTTGTGATCTTCCAGAGCCCTTGCATTCACTCAGGTTTTTTTCCTGAGAGCTTATAACTGACCGGAATCTTTCATATGTAGACTCTGTCTGTGGAAGCTTAAACTCTTTTGAGCAGCCTTTGGAATGGAGAGATTTCCCAAGAAGCCCAGATTCACTCTTCCCCTCTGCTTTCCCCCCACCCTTGTGGGCTGGACTCTCATCTTGGGCCATCATCTCTGGGCCTCTTACTCTATGACATACTGATTTAGACTGCAAAGAAACAGCAGTTTCCCCCAGCATGTCCTTGTCAAGGGCTAAATTGATGGTTTTATAGATGAAATCAGACCTGGCCCCGGAAGGAAGCTGTCTGTTCATATCAAACGCCTGTGTCTGTCTTAGGACTACATGGTGATCCTGCTCTTCTTCCCCATCTGCCTCAGACTCACAAACATGGAGAGGCCTCCCAGACCTACAATGGTTTGAGGAAACATTGCAATAGGACTGTATTGTGGCCTTTTCTTTTTCCTCAAGTGCTGAAAGACTGTGTTCATTTAAAATTCCAACTTGATTTTCAAATTCACATACCTTTGTGCTAGATGAAAGAAAATGTCTGTTCTGACCAACAAAAAGATAAACTGAATTATGGCTTTCTTCTTCAGTATTTCCAGGGCATTTCCCCATTTTTCTGATAACTTCCTTGGTGTTCAGATGAACTGGCCTCCCTGCTGTGACCTGCTGAGATGAGGGAATCTTGGAATTGTGGTTTTGTAACAGCACTGGCAAATTATTCTTCACATAAACATTGTGGAGAACCTGGTGGTCATGACCAAAGCCCCAGGCTTCCCTGGGGGGTGGGGAAGGCACTCTTGATTCTCTGCAAGCCGGAATCTCTAAGGCAGTTTCTGTCAGGGCATCCCGGCTTTTGGTCACATAGAATGTCTCCAAGGGGGGTGGCTTCAAGGAAGACAGGAATGGATTCCAGGCAGCAGAGTGGGGGTATGGCTCTGGACCTGACGCGAATGAAACGCTAGTGTGCCTTCCAACCACTTCCCTGGAGCTCTCCTGATAGTTCACCTTCTCCTCCTGGAGGGGCAGGTAGCTGCTGTGACTTAAGTGCCCCTCCTGGCCTGCACTATTCTTTCTGAGAGGAGCCCAGCCCCGGGGCCCATGGTTTTCTTTAGTGGCTATGGTGGCATTACTGTGACAAGGGCTCTTGAGGAAGAACCATTCATCAGAGGAAGTCATCAGTCCAGGCTTCCCATTACTCTGTGAAGACTCTTCCAAACTGTTCTGCTTGTCTTCACGTGCTTGTGTCATGGAATTTGCCACCTTGTTCTCGGCTACAAAGACTGGTGCATTTATAGTTCCAGAAGTCAATGATTCTACATCTGCTGAGTAAGTGCCACTATGACTCACCTCTTTCTCTCTAGTTGTAAGGAAATCTGAAGTACCTTCTGTCTCAGCGCTCAGACTGTCCTGTTCTTTCTCTGCTCTCAAATGCCTAATTTTGGAAAAATGGAGAGGAAAGGTGCTGAAATGCAGACTGCTGGATACCCCAAAACCAACTGGCAACACACTATCTGTTTCTTTGCCAGAAGCTTGGGTCAAGGAAGTGGAGTCTTCTTCAAGGGAGGGGAAAGCTGGCCTGGGCTCTCTCACAGCCTCCAGAACAGGATGAGACAATTCAAGGAGGTACTTCTGCTGAAGGGCAGCCCAGTCCCTCTCAGGTGCACTGCCTACATGAGTTAATGAGGCGGCAGAGGCAGCCAAAACACTTGATAGGCTAGAGGTGTTGGATGCTTCCGAGTTGCCCTGCTGGGCTGTATCAGGGGTACCTCTGGCTCGAAAGATGCCAGCAACTCGTGGCTGAAGAAGGCTGTACGACCCCCAGAATGACAGCCTGGATGTATCAGAGGCAGGGATTGTGTACACACCTCTTATATGGCAAGGCAGCTCAGCGCCGCCTTGGGGTACTTTGGAGTTATAAGGCAGGAGTGTTTCTGCCCTTGATGGCTTGAGTTCTTCCATATTTTGCCATTGTCCAGGCCTCTCCTGACCCTGGGGTTGAAATTCCTGGATATCAGGACTCGGACATAAGGAACCCACTATTCCTGAAGGGCTGCTGGAATTGATCTTAGAGTCACAGGAAAACCAGGAATCCATGGACAACAGAGGGCTCCCTCTTGAAAGCTGCAGGCCTTGGAGTGTGTTTGCCTGTTCAGAGGAGCTCACCTCTACCTCCGACTCAGGTTGTTCACAGTGAGGCTGGGGTGGGGGGCCAAGGTAAAATGAACTGCTCATTGGCAGGATGGCATCCAGCCTGGTTCCTGTTCTATGGTTGATGGGACCAAGCCTGCACATTGCCTCCTGGTCCACTATGGGCAGACTGCAGGTCTGCAGGTGCCAAAATGTCTCTGCAGGCATCTCATCAGCTGAACTGAAGAAAGGCTCTTGCTGATCTTCCCCCAGTTCCTCCTTGGCATCAATAAGGCTATCCAGGAAAAAGCTCCTGCAAGTTTGGGTGAATAGTTCACTGTCTGAGGACATGGTGAAGCCCCTCACAGGGACTTTAGCTCTGGCCCTGGGGTGGCCGTGGTGGTTGGTGAGATAACTGCTCCCTGAGCTGTCTGGCAGGCTTTCATATCCTTTCTCAGCCAGCGAGTCCTCAGATATTTGGCTGTCATCACTTTCGGAGTTCTCTGACTCTGGGAGATCCTGTTCCTTCCCCTGGAGGTCCTCTGGCTTCAGTGGCTCCATTTGGGCTTTGGCATAGACATAGGAGAGAGAGTCCACTGAGTAACTGCTATCCGCATCAGATAAGTCACCATCTTTCTCTCTTACAAGATCCACTCTTGGGCTGCAATCGGTGAGTGAGGATGTGGAATCTGGGTCTCCTGCACTGTGCTGCCTCCTCAAAGAGCTGCCATGAGGCAAACAAGAGGAATTTCTGACAATGTCTCTGGCCCTAGCTACCAGCACCCTCTGCTGCCTTTTTGATGCCTTGCTTGAAGAAGGTGGTTTGGATTCTACCCAGAAAGTCTTGGCTGCCTTTCCATGCCCAGATGCCTGTCTGGGTCCACAGGGATGTGAGGAACTGCATCTGGCTCCCTTAGCAGTCTTGTGGGTCCCAACGTTCCCTTCTTTATGCCACCCTGATCGTGTGTGGTCAGAGTCTGCTAGTCCCCTACCCCTCCTGGTATAGGTGGAAGGGCTGAGTGCTTCTGGCTCATCCTTTGGCTTTAGCTTGTTAGCTGAATGGTCAAGAGATGCTAAGCTCTGGGACACCATCCAACAGGGCTGCTTACCCACGCTCTCCATTTCCTGGATGCTGGCAGACTCAGAACTCACAGTGAGACAGGTGCCTGAGGCTGAGGCTCCTTTCCTTGCCAAGGCCCCCCTGGCTTTGCAGAAATGCCCCTTGCCTGAGGAACAGAGGGCATTCTTGCTGAAATGCCCTGTCCTTGGAGGGTAAGAAGCAGCCTGGGGCAAATATTCTTCTGATGGAATTGTCTCTGACATTTGGTCAGTAGGATCAGGCAAAGGAGGTACCATGGTGGAGGGATCTCGACTCAGGAAAATACTGTGGAGACAAGGAAATCCATCTCAGAAAAGTAGAAGGTCCCTATTGCCTGCTCACAGAGGGAATATAAAGTCCCACTTAGTTTTCTGTAAAAGAGGTTAAAAACTAGGCCAATGTCACTGTCCCCTAGCATTTGAAGTCAGAGAAAAGCTCTATGGGTACAAAAAGCAACTGTGGACTATAGCCCTGGCTTCAAAGAGGCCCAGGTACACTCTGTTCCTTAATTTATCTTATAAAAAAATTGAACTAAATCTGAATGTAATCATGCCTTTAGGGAAAACTTCCATTTAATAGGCAGCGTGAGGAACAGAGGAACCATCTAAATGACACCACAAGGAATCAAACAGGCAAACCTATAAAGCATCATATTCTACAGAACTGATACACTTTTAACAAATCAGTGATATGAAGAAATAAAAATGATATCAAAGAAAAAGGAACTTAAAAGACATAACCACATGCAGTGTGTAAATCCTATTTGGATCTTAATTTGAACTGTAAATACATATTTTTGAGGCTATTAGAGAAATTTGATATGGCCTAGGTTTTGGATTGTATCGAATAATTAATCTTAATTTTGTTAAGTGAATAATGAAATGTGGTTCGAAGAAAAGCTCTTATTTTTTTAAGTGTATACTTGATGTAGGATTGAAATGACACGGTATCTAAGAGTTGCTTTAAAAATACTTCATCAGGGGCACCTGGGTGGCTCAGTCGGTTAAGCGTCCG